GCTGTGCTGCTGCTGCTGCTGCTGCTGCTGCTGCATCCGGCTGCTGCTGCAGCGCTGCAGCCCAGCGGCTGCCAGCAAAGAAAGTGTAGAATGCTGCTCTGCCGCTGCCTTCACCGAGCCCCAGCAGCTGCTGCACCGCCAATGAAGAAGCAGCAGAACCACTTGCTGCTGCTGCTGCTGCTGCTAGCCCCTGCTGCTCCAGCAGCCGCTCCCTGCATTCAGGGTTTAGGGCCCCCACATCGGCAGCAGCCAACGGGCCCGATGCAACTGAACCCATGACAAATGTTGCTGCTGCTGCTGCTGCTGCTGCTGCNTGCTGCTGCTGCTGCTGCTGCTGCTGCAGTTACTGCTGCTGCTGCGGAGGCAGCAGAGCCACGCGCGGGCTAGAGGATGGCGAGCAGCAGCTGCTGCTGCTGCTGCTTCAGTTGCTGCAGCTGCAGCTGCCCTTATGCCAGGCTTCGAAGCTGCTAGCTGCTCCTAGCGCAGCAGCGATGTCCGCTGCTGCTGCTGTTGCTGCTGCTGCTGCTGCTGCTGCTGCAGGGGTGTTGGATCGGCTAGAAGAGCTGCTGCTGCTGCAGGTGTACAGACACCTCAACGCATATATGATAAATAACACAAGCAACAGCAGATGCCACTAACAGTTTACGCAGCAACAGCTGCAGTAGCTGCAGCAGCTGCAGCAGCTGCAGCAGCAGCAGCTGCTGCTGTCTTCCTCAAGCTGCTGCAGCAACACCGCAGCAACACATGTAGAAGGACAGAATAAAGAAAACAAAAACGAAAATTAAGGATTGAGTTGCAGCAACTCCTAGATGCTGTTCCCGCTGCTGTGTAAACAAGAACAGCTACGTCAATAAAGCAGCAGCNAGCAGCAGCAGCAGCAGCAGCAGAGCAGTAGCCCCCTGAAAGAGGGCTGTACAGAAGAGCTGTTGAGGCACTCGCGCTGCTGCTGCTGCTACTGCTGCTGCAGTTGAATTTCCATCGAAGTTGTTTGCTGTTCCTTTTCTAGTTGTTGCTCTGTTTGATCTGCTGCTTCCTGCTCTTTCTGCTGCTGCTGCTGCTGCTGCTGTTGCAGCTGCTGGTGTTGGTGTTGCTGCTGCGTGCTGTTGTTTTCTGTGCTCATGTATGTGAATTGTTGTCTTGCTTTTGTGCGTTGCTTTGCTTTATGTATTGCATTTCATACCCTTGCTGCAGTGGTACAGCAGCAGCAGCAGCAGCAGCAGCAGCAGGAAGAGCTGCAGCAGGGGCAGCAAGTGCTGCAGCTGCTCCCCCTGTTTGCGGGTTCCTGCTGCTGCGGTGCTGCAGCAATGCGTCCCCTCTTATGTCTGCATGTTTTGTTTTGGTCCTTAGAGCTATGTGATGAAACTATAGGGCCCTGAAGGCAAATTTAGTTGCTGCAGCAGCAGCAGCAGCAACAGCAGCAGCAG